TGTGCTGCCAGGATGCTGAACAGGTTCCTGCAGAGTTTCAGACAAAGACAGACTCGGAGGAAAGACCTAAAGATCTAATTTCAAAAATCAGCCAGTGAAAACCCTATGTGTCCCGCTGGTCCAGTCCACCATGGGTCATGGCGATGGCGCAGGACTGAGCTGCAGTTTGTTCTTTGCATGTGGGGTTGCCACATATCATGGGCTGATTTGAAAGCAGCTAACAACAAACTATTGTTTATTCAATAGTTCCTATGGATCTGATTGATCAAGGTACTTTAGCTCTGGTAAGGTATTTGACTGCTAACCAGAAGGCTGGTGGTTCAAACCCACCAGCCACTCCTCAGAAGGAAGATGGGGCAATCTATTTCTGTAGTAATATTGCCTCGGAAACCCAAGGAGGGGTCACTATGAGTCAGATCTGATTCCACGGCAGTGAGTTTTTTTAGTTTGTGGTCTCGGAGACGCAAAACAAAGAACACAATCCCTGCTTTAGCACACTAGGGGAGAGACAAGTAAACTATCACTTAGAGTATGTTCCGTGACAGAACTAGGGAAAGCTATAGGAAGTTGGATGAAAAATAACAACATGCTTTAGTGTAAAATCTCTGAAAATAAATAAAATTTTGAAGATTTACATATTTATGAATGAAAAAAGTAACTAACTCTTACCACAGTTCCTACATATTTACCGGCTCAAAGTTGGGCAGCACAACATCTTCCTCTCCAACGACAAAAGTCACCATGCTGCAGATCTGTACGCAGTGCCCGACTGGGGAATGTACAGTGAAGAGCAGCATGTGTCTCCTAAAGAGAACGGATCACGTGAGGCCTGAGCATTTCCTCGGTTGCAGGAATTGCCTGTGCTAGCTGCCTGATGACTGCTTGCAGCTGAAACTAAGTCAAACGTTAGTGAAGAGCTGAGTTCCTTAACATCCACGGTATAAAGATTTCTGAAGTTTGGGCCCGAAAGAACCCTCAGAGATCATGGAGGTTATATATTTTAATAAGTATGGAGGACAAAAATAATTGCATTAAATGACAACCTTGCACATGCTGGAGAAATCTCCTACATGCTACAGTCACATTGTTAAAGAAAGGCCTTTTTTCCAGCAACAAAAATTCTTATTGTTATAGGGCTTTGTAGTTTTCAAAGTGATTTCAAAGTCATTTTCTGACAAACTGCCTCTCTCCCACCAGGATGCAGTAGGATTGAGAGCAGGGACATTCACTTTTCCTCGGTTACTGAGCACATAGGGCATGTTCAAAACATACAAGTTAGTGGGTTGGGATTTCTGGATGGAAATGTGAATATCAACGACTCTTTTGCTTTTATTATTTCCCTAACCTGGGTTGCCTCCATGGCCAGGCGCTCAGACAGAGTAACTAGATTTCTGGTAGACCCTCTCCATACCAGATATTTTTATTTTCTAGGAATATTTCTAGGAGTATACATTATTTTAGCATTTAATTTAATTTTATTTTATTTTTTTGCTTAGGCTTTAATTTTTATACAAAGTCCATCAGTTTTCATTATCACACAGAATAAACATAATTGATCTTAAAAAAAAATGTAGTGAATATCTGTATCATCTGAGAAATGAAGTAATATTTTGAATTTTACTTATCAAAATATAGTTCTTGATCATATTTTCTTTAAAATGAAAAATGTGATATGTTTACAGTTTAATCTTAATTAAAAATATATTCTAACTAAAGAAAATTATAGGAAATTTGGCCACAATTAGGAGTCACTGTTGCACAGCATTACTGTAACTGATCATGAAACTGTCCACCTGAAACAAGGTTGAATTGGCAAATGGTGTATTATGTATAGTTTTACAATGATAAAGAAATATAGATTGGTAAGGGAAAATGCTAGATTTCTTAATCTGTGTATAAATAAAATCATGATTCTTGCTAAGGCATATAATAAGAGTTATGAATAAGCAAAAGTATTCTTTAACCTATTAATTTACAGAAATGCTGAGCTGACCAAGTTTCAGAAGTATGCTTTCCTAATGAAATTCCCAGAATCTTTGAAAATTATGAACTCTCCAAAAGGGAATTCAGCGCACAGCGTGTCTTTAATTTAAGTTGTTCACGGAAGTGTTTTTCTTAAGAATCACATGTTTTGTGCAGTTACTTCAGTAAATAACACCCTGGAGACAATATAGCTTAGTTCTTTAGTCTTCAGCAGTTTACCAGGCTTCAACAATTCTTAGTATGGGAAAAAATTAAGTCACTACATACCCAACAGGCAGGCGAACCATGGTAGCCTTGGTAGCATACGTATGAATCTTCAGAACAAGTTTCCGTACCTTCAGAGATTTCCAAGAATATGTTTCAGCCATAAGTAGTCCAGGCTCTAGGGGAGGGCTGTCTTTTGTTAAGGCTTTAGCAAAAGTTTAAAAAAAAAAAAAAATGGAGTACAGCTTACTTCTCTGGTATTGTTTAATTTTTTTGGTCCAATAACCATATAAATAATCAATTTGGAAATTAGAGATACTCTAAGATGCTCATGAAACAGTAAAAACTGCTCCAGGTAATTTTTACATTTTCTTTTTTCATCCTCATAATCACCACCTCAGGTGAAGAAACCAAGAAAAGAAAAGTTAAGAAAAAAAGGACAGAGAGGGATATTTTATTTTAGAATACCACCACTTTCATTATCTCTGACAATATCCCTCTGGACATAATATTAAACGAGGTAAGATACATTTGTGAAAGTAACACATTTCTGTAAGATAGCATCAAAGGAATGCCAAAAAAGCCATTGTTTACCTAAATTTTTACCACTGATTATAAGGGTGTATAAAAATAACAAATAATTTACAAAATATGCATTTCAGTATCAAATTGTTACTTAAAAATGAAAAAAGAATATGACCATTCTTCATTAGTGGCTGAACGCAAATTAAGTTTTACCCTATTTCCAGATAGCACTGAAGCTGAGGACATAAAAGGCCACAGCATGAGCTGAAAGGGCTCCACGCTTATGGCATTAAATGTTCGAGGGCATGGAAGCTATTGGTTATACAGGCTACTAAGGTTAGACCACTAAACTCTTGAGAGTTTACTTATTAAACAAGTATTAATTGTCCAACGTCTATATGCTAGATATCATTTAAAACACTGGCAATACCTTGGTAATAAATCAAAGTACCTGCTCTCAAAGTGGGCCAGATAGTCAATATTAACACTCTACAGATATTTAGATTCCAGCTACTGTTAACTTCAGTTAGCAATAAATGTTTCACAAAACAGGGAAGTAATAAAAGAGTGAGGGGTGGTGTGTGTGTGTGCGTGTGTGTGTGTGTATGTGTGTTGAGTCTGCACTGAGGCCCTTCGGTTAGGTTGATCAGAAAATGCTTTTGAATAGAGACCAAAACGAAGTGAAGATATAAACTGTGTGAAGTACTAGGAGAAACCATTCTAGGAAATTTGACTGGCTACTGCAATAACTGCAAGGTACAACCAAGAACAGACAGGCCAGACCAGAATGGCTAATGGGTGGGAAAAAAGGAGACTCCGGTAAGGCTGAGACTGGACATAGAGGCAAGGGCCAGATGCCATATGGCCTCATAAATCATAACAAGTGTAGACTGAATTCCAAATGCAATGGGAAGCCACTGGAGGGTTTTGAGAAGGAAAGTAACTTTATAAGTTCTAATGTTTTAGAGAGATTGTTGCTGTCAAGTGCCGACAAGTCGGTTTCAACTCACAGCAACCCCGTGTACAAACAAATGAAACACCTCCCAGGCCGGCACCATCCTCACAACCTCTGTTATGCTTCAGTCCATTGTTCTAGACACTGTGTCATCTATCTTATTGAAGGATTTTCCTTTTCTCGCTGACCCTCTAATTTACCAAGCATAATATCCTTCTCCAGGGACTAGTCCCTCATGATGATACGACCAAAGTACAGAGCCACAGTCTGGCCATTCTCACTTCTTCTGGCAGTCCACAGACATTCAATATTCTTTGCTGACAAAATAACTCAAATTTATCAATTCTTCTCTGGTCTTCCTTGTTCACTGTTCAGTTTTCACATGCACATGAGGCTACTGAAAAAACAATGACTTGGGTCATCGATGAACTTCAGTCTTCAAGGTGACATCTTTGCTCTTAAATGCTTTAAAGAGGTCTTTGGCAGCAGATTTAACCAATGCAATAAATCATTTGGTTTCTTGGCTGCTGCTTCCAATCACATTGATTATGGATCCAAGTAAAATGAAATTCTTGACAACTCCAATCTTTTCTCCATTTATCATGGTATTGCTTATTGGTCCAGTTATGAGGACTTCTGTTTTCTTTAGATTGAAGTGTCACCAATAGTGAAGGCTGTAGTCTTTAGTTTTCATTAGTAAGTGCCTTTTAAGGGTTTTTCACTTTCAGTAAGCAAGGATGTGTCATCTGCATGTCACAGGTTGTTAAAGAATGTTCCTCCGATCCTGATGCCATGTTCCTTATATAATCCAGCTTCTAGGATTATTTGCTCAGTATACAGACTGAACAAGTATGGTGAAAAGAAACAACCCTGATGCACACCTATCCTAATTGGAAACCATGCAGTATCTCCTTGTTCTGTTTGAAAGCCTGCCTCATGGTCTATATACAGGTTCCTCATGAGTACAATTAGGTGTTCTGGAATTCCCATTCTTTGCAATGATATCTATAATTGGTGATGATCCACACAGTCTAATGCTTTTGCAGTCAATAAAACACAGGTAAACATCTTTCTCATATATTTTTTTTTCTTAGTCAAGATCCATTTGTCATCAGCAATAACATCCCTTGTTCCATGTCCTGTTCTGAATCTGGTTTCAATTTCTGACAGTTCCTTGTCTATGTACTGCTACAACCACTTTTAAACTATTTTCAACAAAATTTTACTTGTGTGTGATATTAATGATATTGATTGATAGCTTCCACATTCTGTTGGATCACCTTTTTTTTTTTTTTTTCAATGGGTACAATATGGATCTCTTCTGCTCGATTGGCCAGGGAGCTGTCTTCCAAATGTCTTGGCATAAATGAGCACTTCCAGCATTGCATCTGCTTGCTGAACATCTCAACAGGTATCCCATCAATTCCTTGAGACATGTTTTTTTTTTTTGCTAATTCCTTCAGTGTAGCTTAGGCTTCTTCATTCAACACCATCAGTTCCTGATCATATGCTATTTCCTGATATGGTAAAACATGGACTGACTCTTGTTAGTACAGTCATTTTTTTCTGTTCCTTCCATCTTTTGATGCCACCTACATCATTCAATATTTTGCCCACAGAATCCTTCAGTATTGGAACTTGAGGCTTGATTTGTTTCTTTAGTTCTTTTAAGTTGACAAATGCTGAGCATATTCTTCCCTTTTGATTTTCTAAGTCCAGGTGTTTGCACATTTCATGATGAAACTTTACCTTACCTTCTTGAGCTACTCTTTGAACACTTCCGTTAAGCTCTTTAATCTTCAATTCTTTCATTCACTGCCACTCCTCGGAAGGAAGGTTGGGCATTCCTACTTCCATAGTGATACTGCCTCGGAAACCCAAGTAGGGGTCGCTATGAGTCGGGGCCGACTCGATGGCAAACAACAACAACAACAACAACATAGCTACTTTCCATACAAAAGCAAGTTTCAGTCCCTCTGACATTCATTTTGGTCTTTTCTTTCTTTCCTACCATTTTAATGACCTTTTTCTTTCTTCATGTATGATGTTCTTGATATCATCCCACAACTTGTCTGGACACTGGTGTTCAATGTGTCAAATCTATTATTCAAATAGCCTCTAAATTCAGGTGTGATGTATTTACAGTCCTATTTTTGACTCTCATAAACTTGTTTTAATTTTTCTTCAGCTTCAACTTGAACTTGCATATGAGCAATGATGGTCTGTTCTACCATCAGACCCTGGCCTTGTTCTGACTGATGTTATTGAGCTTTTTCATCATGTGTCTTTCCACAGATGTAGTTGATTTGATTCCTGTGTGTTCCATCTGGTGAGGTTCACAACCATTTAAGTAACTGAAAAATGTGTTTACAATGAGTAAGTCATTGGTCTTGCACAATTCTATCATGCAATCTCCAACATCATTTCTATCACCAAGCCGTATTTTCCTTTGTTTCCAATTTTCACATTCCAATCACCTGTAATTATCAATGCAACTTGATTGCATGTTTGGTCAATTTCAGACTGCAGAAGTTAGTAAAAATCTTCAATTTCTTCATCTTTGGCATTAGTGGCTGGTGAATAAATTTGAATAATAGTAAGATTAACTGGTCTTCCTTGTAGGCATATGGGTATTATCCCATCACTGACAGCATGGTACTTCAAGGTAGATCTTGAAATATTCTTTTGGAAGATGAACGTGACGCCATTCCTCTTCAATTTGTCATTCCCAGGATGGTAGACCATGTGTTTGTCTGATTCAAAATGGCAAAAAGCAGTGCAACTAATGCCCAGGATATCGATCTTTATGCATTCTATATCTTTTGATGACTTCCAATTTTCCTAGATTCATACTTCATACATTCCACTTTCTGATTATTAATGGATGTTTGCAGCTTTTTCTTCTCATTTTGAGTCATGCCTCATCAGCAAATCAAGGTCCTAAAAGTTATACTTCATTCACACCATTAAGGTCAACTCTACTTAGAGGAGGTAGTTCTTTCCCTATTGTATTCTGAGTGCCTTGAGATCTGAGGGGCTCATCTTCTGGCATTGTATCAGACAATGTTTCACTGCTATTTTAAAGATTTTCACTGGCCATTTTTTTCAGAAGTAGATCACCAGGTCTTCTGTCCCAGTCCATCTTAGTCTGGATGATCTGCTGAAATCAGTCCACCCTGGTGACCCTGCTGTTACTTGAAATACCAGTGACATAGCTCCCAGCATCACTGCAACATGCAAGCCACAACAGTATGGCAAACTGCCAGATAAGTGATGATGAGAAAGATTAGTTTAGCAACTATGGCTAATATGTGGAGAGAAGAATGTAAGGGAGAAGGTGGAAGGAAGTCACAGAATGGTGGAAGACAACCAGAAGAGGGTAGAAGCCAAGGGAAGAAATAATATTTAAATGGGGGGGGGAGCAATTAACAGAATTATATGGTTGAATAAAATAAGAATTTGACCATAAGATTTGCCCCTGGGGATGCTTCAGTGGAGTGGTAGGAGGGAGGGGACATCAGAAAAGAATGGTCCACTGAACCTAACCTAATCCCCTAAATTAGTGTCCCTTGGGGAATTTAATGCATGTCTAATGAAAACAACTAAAATGTTTTAAAACTTTTTTGTGTGTAAGAGTTCATAAAGAGAAACAAGAAATAGAGAACGCTAAAAATATTCTGAAAAATTGCAGTGTGAAGTGTATCTTTCCAGATATTTAAACATAT